TACCTTTATAAATAACGGGCTTAAACATATCTATTAACCTACTTGCAATTAATACTACACGTTCATGCAGAAAAATAGGGTTATTAAATGGTGGAAATTCGATTTCCTAACATCTGTTATTCAGTAGCGATGCTCTGACGAGTCTAAAATTAGAGCTTATAATGTAAGAACCCTAGGTAGTATAAGGCTAAGTAAAAATGTTGCAGAAAAATATTAAATGAATACAAAGAAGGTAAAGGTGAACGTTTGCCTTGTAGAGTGTACGTTTCTGATTTAAGGGCTTCTCACGAACATTTACCAAAGATTTTCGTTTGTGTGAATTAAAGTATTAAGTGACATGAAAGGAAATGAGTAGGTAGGAGAATAAGAGGGGAACAAATATGAGAATGGGCAGGAGGTTTCGGTTTGGGGTAAAATATATTAATGTTTAGTTTTTCTGCTTAGTCTTCGGTCTAATTTTTCCGGAGTTATTTTTCCAAACCCAATTTAATGGCTGCAAGAAGCGACTGAAATGGGAAGTGCACTTGTGGGAAAACATTTCGAACAAATTTTCACTGGTTCACTAGGAAGTTGTTTTTCAGAGCAGTTTGAAAGATAGTTGCAAGTCAAAACTTGTTTTCGAGATAGTACGATCCTTCTAAATAATTAGAATCGCAGAACTGTCAAGGTAAAATATCAGGATGATACTAGCCTCTTAATTTAATGCTCAGGAAAACGGAGCGTTTCACGCCCAACGACTAAGTTTAATTAATGTTTTATAAGATTTTGATTACATCCATTCATTATTCTGCCAGAGAGAAATGTTAACGAGTTTATACAACCGTAAAATTTCATTTTTTGAGTAGATATGAACCACTGCAATAGATTTCCGGGAACCAATTAGTGTATAATTCTATTGCATTACCTATGCGGGAAATCGCTTTTATTTCCATCACTTTATATATTTGCCTTTTGAATGAAGGGTTACAGTGTGATATCACAGATTCTTTAATAAAATACGGGACCTTTTTAGTTTAAGATAATATTTATTCAAATATGTGTAAAAATGTTTGCCTCATTTGGTGACATTGCTAATAAGGGCCATTCGCAGCAAATCTACCATTCTTGGAAACATGATAAGAGGTAAAATTTAGGCTAAAGTAAAAAAGTGTTGGCCAGCTAAACCATATATACTTCTTTTAAATTAATTCCGTAAATTTTTTTTCCCTTTAGCATTCTTAAACGCACAACGCAAAGGTCAGGAGTCGAAGAGATGGGCTGTGGAGTGAACCAAACGGATAATATTTAAGCTATTCAGCCGGTGGATTTTGCTAATGTGATAATTGCTAAGTTATGAGAGAGAGTATTCGTAAGTCCCACAGCACCATGGCTAGCTAACAATATTTACTCATTAGATTTCCAGGCCTACTAAATGTATTTGCGGTACCGTTGTTTACTGAACACAAAATAAAGATGTGAACGAAAGAATGATAAAAAAGCATTAAATGAGTTTCAGAGGAAACGATAAAATCTTAGCGTAAGGGTAAACAAAAATAAAAATCATTTTTCATTAAAACTAGTTGGTTATGGGAGACAATTTGAAGTAATTACTTAAATTTTAGCATTATTGCTCCCTAAGGAAGAATACTTGGAATCAAAAACTATGAACAAAAGGTTACTCAGAAGGCATTAACTTGGCCATTACATTGTTTAATCTGTAAACTTAAAAGAGTACAAATAAATGTACCGACCGATTAAAGCTAAACCAAATCCCTTTCTGGGTTATTTCAAGACGTGTCAGATCATTCTATACGAAATGTCCAATTCCGTCAAATACTAAGTTATAATCGAGATCTCTGATATAAACTCCAATCAAAACTTTTAATCTCTGTCTAACGAAGATACAGGGATACTCTTTTTCCTTTGCAATTTGCTTAAACGGCATTTCTGAAATAAACTCATTCCAAAAATTTGTGCCGCAATCGTAGATTCAGAGCACTCTGCCATTTAGCCATATTCCAGTTTTGACTATAATTCTTTTGTGAAGAGGAGTCCAAGAGCGGTTTAGTTTCAATTGAAAAAAAAATAAAAAAATGCGTGATTTTAGAAAATTGGGGTTCTTTGTGCCACAGTTCGATGTGTACTTAGAACAAGGTCTGTATGTGTGTGTGCGGCACTGGAGTACATGGGGTGGGGTTCCAAATGTTGTGCATCTATATCCTTGTAACTTGCCTTAAGATAAAAGGCATTATTAGCACACATAGAATGCGTTCCCATCCAATGTTAGGCAATCAGGAGCAACTCAACAAGGGCGTGAAATGAAAATGTTTTTAAAGGGTTCGCGAATACGACACAAAGGAGGGAACCAGCAAGAACGCTTTCTGGGGTCATATGCACCTTTACCAAGCTCTTGGCGTCTGCTGTGATTAGCCTTCCACATTGACCATCGCGATAATCTACAAGTGGAACAAAGTCAGAGACGAAGGTCATAAGTAATTCTCCATTCCAATGAGAAAAATATCGATGAAATCCATCTCCTGTTAGCGAGTTTTAATAAAATAATAATTAATTTTGCGGAGGCCATAAATCACGCATCATTTAATTCTCCAAATGGAAGATCTTTAGAATTCCTTAATGGTAGTGGTCCTTCAGAACTTCGATTTAATTTCGATGCTCTCTTAAGTGTCATTGCTTCTTTGGTGTTAATCAGCTGTCTATTCGAGATAGCACTTGAATCAAAATGGTGCGAATAGGGATTTAAAATATTCTAATTAGTATTTTTAGGGACGACTTAATCTCAATCAATAGTCATTGTCCCCAATTTCGCCTCCTAGGGAATTTCCGCAAGTTGATTCAATCGCGGTAGAGGTGTTTCTTTACTGCTTCAGACCTAGGCCTTTTTCGAAGAATCAGCATAAGGTGAAAATGTCAGCCGCGTCTGACAGCTGCTACCGGCAGATTTACGACCATTGAGTCGATTGTAAATACGTCAAAGAAGTAAAAGGCCATATTCGTAGCCGATAGGGATTTGCATAACACCGCCATAGATACTGATTTGCAAGAGCCTGGGATGATTCCCTTAAATTTCCACAATGTTATCACTATACTGCTAAGTCAAAGCAACCATTTACAAAGCAGCAGATAGGGAGAAACCAATTTGACTAAGATATGGTCAATAAAATTTCTTCCAATGAGTGAAAGGGGGCAAAACATTTTGGAAACCCTAGCGTGGTATTGTCCAAGTAAATTACAACACTGGTTAAAAGTTTTAACTTTAATACGTATTCACCGTTAAATAGTATAATTCTGCCAAAATACTATTCAAATTTGGCAGTTTTTCCTTCCTAAATGCCAAACTTTCATGATAAGTACTTTACTGTCAGTATTGTTTCCATTTAGCGCGCGTAAGGTAGGCCTTCAAGAAGGGCCTTTCAGCTGCGTACCCATAAAGAGGCAACTGTGTGGATGGCTTACAACAAAATAGCAGGTTATAGCTATGTTTCAATAAAGACCACCTTAAAACTCAGCATCCATGGAGCCTTTTCGACACAAAGCGTTAATTTTACTACCGACGACTCCACTTAAAGGATTAGCATTACGATACTTTATCAATCCACAATAAAAGAGACTGACCGATTCACGAAATTGCTTCAGCACCCTGTTCCACTATGAACTGATGTATTTTTTCCAGAAGTAGTAAGATAAACTCGCTCGTTTCCTAGCTTTGATGACCAAATATTACCTCGGGGGGTGGACCAGCAGTTATCTAACACCAGTGGTAATTTCACTAGCTTTCTATGCAACTTCTGTAAGCGTAAATCACTGTACACAGGTCCATTTTTAGAATTAGTAGCAGCTTTAGAAAGAATTCGTGATTTTTTTGCCATAAAAGCCATAAGGTGGAGCAGTGATGCATTAAAAAGTATATCATATTAACAGTTCCTTCAAAATTGTGTCATATTTACGAACAACGACGTTTTTATTTCATAGAAATCTTAAAATTCCGTTCAGAATTATTGCACAAACTAAGAGATTAATAGAAAATACTTTAAGGGCAAATGCAATAACTTTTGAGGATGCTAATAGAATCACTTATCAGGTATATTGGTATCTAATTCAAAGGAGTCCTCACTTACTTAATTTCATTTTTCAAGTTATAATAAGTGGCAAAACGTCGACATTTTACTTTACTGTATGAATGCCCCCAACTTAAAGTTAGGGGTAGAAATTTTCCTTCCCACTGAATTGACCAATTCGCCAACCAGTTACTTTGAATCTCAAGAACACCAAAAATCTCAATTCAGTAGAATGACAATTAAACCTACAAAATTAATTCCTTCATCAATTCAACGGATGTTTTCAGGCAAAATGCGGAACCGCATTACCCGTGAGGACACCATGAATGTTTTCTACACAATTTAAGTTATCAAACAACAAAAAAGTGCTTCAAATGGCCTTTCACACCATAATTTATTTTAAGAAATTTCCCCAAGCTAGTATAATATGATTTAGAATATTTACCTTATAATTTAATTTGCTTTGACTAGTGTCATTCAAACCGACTCTCGGCTTTTTAAAGCCTTAGAACTGATTACTTGATAGGTTTACCAAAATGCGAGTTACTAAAAAGCAAGCCTTGGGTGTTTAAAAACGAGTATCCTTCAATTTCAATAACTAGCAATATACAGATCCCAGGAGATAACTTAGCTTTTGGACGACTTATTACATTTTAACAGTAGTTCCAAATTGGAATTTTATGCTACCACATTAACGATTCTGAAGTTCATTTAATTATTAGGTAAATGAAAGAATGAACAAACAACTAATACGCTCAAAGCGACACAAAAGACAGCACGATATGATTGGTCGAGAAGAATCCAATAGGAGGTGCAGACAAAAATGGGTTCATCATGCTAGTAGCTGCGATTGCCATTCCACCCCGTGGCCTAGGATACACTTCATTATAAATATATTTATAATTAAAACCACAAAAAATAGGATTTAGCAGTTTTACAAATACAATGCTATGTCTCGTATGCGGAGACACTGCTAGTGGAATTCACTACGGAGTCCTCTCCTGTGAAGGCTGCAAAGGATTCTTTAGACGGGCATTGCAAGTAAGCTTCTAGCTAATGATGGAACATTTTTAAATTTTTTGAACCCTTTATGACGTCTATTAGTAGACCGTAATTTGCTGGCATCAGTAAGCAGTAAATAATTTGGGAAGTAGGCACGTATATAGGCCTACTTGTGAATATTGTAGTTTGATTCTGGCACTGTTTCCGTAGTTTGTCATTTTCTTAGTCATTCTCCTTTAGTAATAGTTGTCAGACTAAGAAATTTCCAAGTTTTCATTTACTATTTGATGTTTAAACAATTAATCCACTCATTTGCTGTATCCTTTATAGGGTGTTTAGAGTGCATGGTAGTTGTCCTAGCTTGGAAATTAGGCTTTTCATCCATGCAGTGGCATAAAACAGTGTTAGCGACTAAAGTGAACCGTAAGGTCAAGTAAAAAACTTCTGATCACAAGGTGAACTTTATTTGTGATCATGGACTTTTGACCTGTGGAGTTTTTTCATCGCATGTGCGATTAGCAATCCAAAATGGGTGAGGTTGTCGATTTGTTTTGTTCTTGAATGATCCCCATGCTTATCGAGCTTCACTCATAGTGTACCATTCCAATAGTATGAAGCTTCAACGCAAATGTTGAAATAAATGCTAATCCTGCTAGAAAGCTTCGCTGCTTATTTATCCACATTGAAGCTTTTTGACAATTATGATTATAAGTCTCATAAATTATATACTTATGGTGTTAATTTAAAAACACCACATAAGACAGCTGTAACGAGGAAAGGCAAGATTACATTTAGTCGGCATTGTATGCACACCATAGGGCTGATTTATGGGAAACACTAACCAACCAAATACCTAAGGCTAGTAATACTAATTTCGACGAAGTTAGGGCGTCGTGAAAATAATTTGATTCTCCTGACTGATATAAATATTTGCTAATTAGTTCCTCTTTCAGTGAGATGCAGCATTGCTCCGTGCGCCATCTGGAAATCAGGTTTGGTTCTTGCTGTAGGAGGAAAGACAGGGCTCCCTTAAGGTGGTAGCTGCAGCAAGTACAACACCTCCACCTAACTACTCCGTAAAATGCGTGTAATTTTTTTCTCCATAAATGATGCCCACGCCATAAGTGTGTTTCTTGAACCAAGTGCTTCTTTATAAGGCGGAATGAGATCAGGCAATGAAGAATTTCTCAGGATCCAATCAGATTCCTCAACGATTAGAATTACGAAAATATGAGAAAATCAAAGTCACTGACAAAATTAGTGATAAAACGTTTCAATCTGGCGAAAAATAGACTCACATGACTTGTGAAAAACAAAGGAAATATGTTCCGCACGTAAGAGGGAATTGTGAAAACCTTTTGAATGGGTGAAGAGCTGAGAAGAGGAATAAGGGTTTAAAAAATAATAATCTATTGATCTATTAAAAATGGACTGTCATACGCGTAAACCAGTCAGTATTTAGGAAAGCAGAATATCCTATTGATGTAAAGTGAAGTTTTTGGGTGATAATCGGCATTGCTTTTGATCGCTGACCGTGACAAACATGCTACGTCTTTCATTAAAACAAATAGCTTAAGCAGTTTGTAAATGCCACAAATCCCATAAATATTTATTGAGATTACTTCAATAAATAATGGAATTGCGTACAAGTGTAGCCAATGGGAGCCAGCATTAACTCACCGAGCGTTCGCATTGAAACTAGTTTATTGCACACAGTGGTCTCCTGTACTATTTCCTTGGGGCAACTGCACTCGCGATAATTGAACCTAAATGGAAGCAATTCAGTCACTTAGACAGGTGTCCGATTTCGAAATGACACTTTGCTAGGAAGAAATTTGAAGTTTTGGTACGCTTTTACAGCCTACGAATGAGGGACTTAATACATCTGTTACTTGTTTGGCTGGATAGGATAAACGAGCACACCTGCGCAAATGCATTAGGCAGGATCGATGTAAGATCTCGATTAAGACACGCAACCACTGTCAGCCCTGTCGGCTGCGCCGGTGTCTGGAGCTAGGCATGTCTCGCGAGGCAGCCAAACTGGGTCGCAGATCTCTCAAGACCTGGAAGAACCTCGACCTCGCCATTGCGCTTCACGGTCAGCAAATCAATAAACCTGAGGACAGCAACCAATCACTTTCTTTGACCAATAAGGACACACCAGCTACTCAAATATGTAAGTGATCAAGTGATTGGTCAAGGAACAATAAAATAAAATTTAACGAAGTGTTTACGATAATCAGAAAGCAAAGTGATTAAACTGAGGATAAATTAAATGATTACTTTATATCCAAAAGCCTTGTTCTTTTAATTTTGCAATAAAGAGCATAAGTAAATTTCATTTTGATTGCCATAATTGATTTTGAACAATCCCTGAATGAAGAAAGCCATTTTTGAAGGAATAAACTTCACCAATATGTGTAAATTACTTAATTTGGTTTTCTATGTCAAAAGGAATATTAATAAGGTGGCTCTGTGTCAAATGACCCTGCCTACTTTTGTATTCGCTGTCTAAATACTCCCTTTACATTCAACTAGTTACTACCTTCTAGTAAATTTCACGAATTCCTCATGATTATCTGTTAGCATCCTTTTTCATAACAGATCACCTGTAAAATCAGGTTGAGGTTTTCCTCACCCGGAATTTCATTTCATATATGGGTTGCATCGGTGAAAGTTCTAATTGCAATATTCAAGTGCTGCACGTGGACGCTCATGTTCACTCCAATCTTTTTCATTTTTGAAGCCCACCACTTTAAGAATAGGACTGCTGAATAAAACGCAGGAACACACAGTCTCAAGAGCCCACTCACAATACATAAAATGTCTTAAGAAATTTAAACTTCCAAATATCCTAGGTCCAGAAAACACATATTTAGGTATTTCACAGTTGAATTTAAAATAACCTTTAATCATTAGGAAGGTAAACACAGGTTAATTGACTAATTATACCCATCCATGTGCACAAAAGATGAATTCAAAGCTATTAAATTTCTTGAGGGTTTAATGTAACCAAAAACTAACCTTTTCCACAAGGGCAGTCAAGCAGCTTATGATCGCATTTGATTGTCACTTTGATATTTGTAACTATAGTTTTCTGTTTATTGAATATGTTTTTATGTGAAACCGTACGCGAGAAGTGAGAATACGTTGTTGGTATCACCTCATATAGGTCAGCGATAAAACCAATTTATCCAAAATGAAGGATAAACAAGCTCCACTTTGAGTGAAATTTTCAAGGGAAATTGGAGACTCTGGAAGTATTGCTGAATATTTTAGTAGAAAAGTACTAAAATTTGAGGAGATTCTAAAAAAAGCGCACTTGTTATTTACAATTTTATCTAATGGTTAGGTAAAACACATTGGCTTATAGCTAATCAAAACACAAATTTTTGTGAAGGGAGGTGAAAGGTGTTAGCGGAAAATGAAATACATGAATGCGTGTTAGGTGCCATTGAGTTAGTGTTTCTTAAAAAGTATCAATTGAAATCAACTATCTGTGGAGCAAGTTGAGAAACATTCTTATATCTAATAAATGGATAAGCACTTGGTGTAGAAAATAAGGGTATCAAAGCTACTTTTAGAAGGAAATTTGAGGTAAGATATTTGTGATCAATGGATCATTCTAATGCCATTGTTGCATTGACAAAATTTGTCTGCTTTGGAAGACGATCTTTTGGAGATGTTAATGTCACTTTTATGAGCTACTAGATGAGCAAATTTACGCAATGTATTTTACGATTATTACTCATTAGATTAATAAAGAGCATCCTCCCTGCCCATCCCCAAAATTATTATTTTCAGTCTATAGTTAAGGCAAAAACTAAAGAACAGCGCAGCAAATTTTTCACTTTTTAATTTGTAGGTTTTAGCTAAAGGTTACCTACTTTTAGACCATGGTATCCGAGTTTTCATTAAAGGTGAGGTTTACAATTCGATTACAAAAACTAGAAATAGAAAATTCTGTCCGGATAGTTTGTACAGAATTCTGCATAGCGAAATACCACAAAGCACTATAATGTTTCATACTAAATCACTAAAGTTTTCCCAGCAGCAGTAATTGTCACACACTTTTGGATTTCCCAGCAAAGGGGATGTGAATATCAAACTCATGCCGTGGTTTGTTTTTCAATTTCAAGGTGCAGTGCGATTTCTACATAAAGGTTAGTAACATCTTCATATCCTGCGTCTAGGTAAGGCAAACTGATAAAACATTATTGTAAGAGTTGAGAAGGAAACTGAATGGGACAACTTTGTTAAGTGCTCTTATATAAAGACAAATGGAAAATACCTGCAAATCTAGTGCTAAGGATGGAAAGTTGTAGATATACTCTTTCCAACTTATTATTATTTTATGTCTAAAACTGACATTACCATAGAGAAGTTAAGACTTTGGATTTCTCTTCTGGTATTCTGTGACAGAAATGGGGAAATAAACCATCAAATTGAGCGTTCGATATTTTACAACTATGAAAATGAAGAATACGGCGTCGAAGTAAATTATTCTAAGACCCACACCAGTAGTATAGAGTGCAAAGAGTACTGGGTACTGCTGCAAATCATAACATTAAATAATTACTGTAGAAGCAAATAACGTAGAGGACATTCTATGTGTCCATATTTTCCTCAAAAGCGTGCAGAGAATGTAAGCCATCATAAGTACCATTGCTAAAGAGCGAGCTTACTGATTACGATGAGGTACAAATATGGTGTGAGAGCCCAAATATGGTCAAGTAAGCACAACTACACCTTTAAAATTTAAATAAATAAAATTAGAAAACTCATTTGGTTGCAACTTAAGCCACCAAATTTGTTTTGGCAAATAATAGTCTTCAAAAAATTGTATTGACGAGACTAAGTTTCGCTATTTTCTTTCACTTAAGGTCCACAACCAGGCACGAATCTGTCATTTGCTGTAGAGTCGGTGCGACAGCAACCATCACAACTATTCGACGATGGTAACTCGCCAAGTGGCAGCGACACTACCTTTACTGCACTCAGCAGTATCCCCTCAGTAGATACTTCGGTATCGGGGGGAAGTAATTACGATTGGGGCGCCACGCCGGTATCTCTGCCAACTCTGGAAGAGGATTGCACTATCTCCACCGCTCATTGCAAGGGAAACAAGGCGAACTCATTCTCGCCCGGGTCCCAAATCATGATTAGTGAGGTGGGCAGATGTAGCGCTAAAAAGATATCTAAATAGGGGCTCAGACTACCTGCTGATCAAGAAATATGAGGGCAAATGGAGGACTTAATCTAGTTACACATAGATTGCGGTTGCTGGTGCATTTAACTGCTAGCACGCACTACAGATTAGGCAGCTCATTGAAATTAAAGTTTACATCCGATTATTTAACCAACCTTGTGGATCGTAGGTAGGCCATTGTAGTTCCACTTCAAAGAGCTCCTCCTCTCCTAAAGGTTATAATTAATGAAGGAACTTTATCCATCACCGTATTTCCGGTAAGTTTGGCCATCAAGCTTCTGTAAGACACCTAAAATTACAAAGGACTTAAGACATTTTCCTATTTCGATGCACAAATTTAGTGATTTGTGCCATTAGAAATCTTTAATAACTAGTAACAACACTTTAAAATCAAATAGACGCTTAAAAACTTTGCAGTGCTAATGTAGTGTCCATATGAAAATTGGGCAATATTTCGAATGAATTCGAAGGGTATTAGGAATTTTCTTGAAATTTTAACTACGCTAGCAAGCAGGTACTAGTTCAGTTTCTAAAATACGAATGCAAATTAGTAAATTAAAGGTAGTTAATTTGATTGTTTCCTGACCGGTGCTATCGTAATCTATTCCTAGTTCTGGGAAAATTCATTTTATGTGTGATTGTTTTTGTATTGACACAAAGGGAATAAAAGCACACACTACTTTACACCCTCAGGGGATGCCTACTATAGCATCCATTGCGTGTTAGTCGGAAATAATAAATTAACTACTAAAAGTGATTTACAGAGAATGGTAGTGGTTGGATGGAAAGGTGGGCTTATTGACTCTCACACAAAAGTTTCTCCAGCCTCGTCGGCATACCTTCAGCCCAAAGTCATAGCAAAGAATAGGCATTCTTCTTTACGATCTGTCTCAGCAAAATAAGCTTAGTTAACCTGGACAATTTATATTTCTGGGGCTGCTTTACGTCGATGGTAACTCGCGCAACACCCAGTAAACTTTTAAGTTTAATGTATTATATATGTAAATAAAAAGAGTGGCTTAAAGATCCAATTACGAAGCCGGAGATATGCAAAAACAATGTCTCTCCGTAAGTTTTATGGCTAAAATGAAAACGATGGGTAAAATTGCATTGTTTTGCAAGAGTAAAAAAAATAATACCTCACTTTTGATTAAATCAATTCCGTGAAAAATGTGAGGAATTGCTTAACTGGTAAAACAAATAAAAGAACAATGGAAGTCGCTTTTGAAGTGAATTAAACTGATGTAGCTGTTAGCGGATACTCATTTCATTCCAAAACATAAGGTAAATTCACAAAGTGACCAAAATGGGGAGTTAGCTTTGCGTTGTGACAAAGACTATGAAAACGGGGTTTGGAGCGGTTTGGCTTAGCTATCACCATTGGTCCGTCTTATTATTCTTTGATCAACAGCGAATAGTTCCAGATTCATTATTCAAGAGAAGATGGACAACCTAACCAGCAAGATTCTTGACCTGTTAACTTTTTGCAGTTAGTGTCCATTAAAAAGGAATTACTATAAAAATCAAAAAACCTTGAAAGCAAATATACTTTGACATGATAACCGAAATACAGCTGACAGCTTGAAATGAGTTCAGAAATTCCCATGAACAACTTGAAACTTCCACGCATTCATTGAAGTAACTCATAAAATCTAACCTAAATTATCATTTTTTGGGAATAATTTTGGATACTCGTTACATGCATGATGCAAATAAATTTGTAGTCCTCATCAAATAGTAGCAAGTCACCGTTTTAACTGGTTTCTGCTTCTAAAAAGTGTATGAAATAATGCGGTGAAAGTCATGCTACCGTTGAATGCAAATGGAGTATTAAGCTTAAGGGGTAATTAATTGCCACGCCGCATGATAGCTTCCCCGTGGAAAGATAATGAAAAAGCCATTTGGGGAGAGGGAAACAAAAACTAGCTCCTGTGATAAATGCTAGTCCGCCTCCGGCGACATTTTGCAATCGATTAATCTGTAGGTCATTGTAAAAAAAACAAACTTTCCTTCTGTCTACAATTACGTCTGCCAGAAAATGCCCTGTTTGTGTCTGTTTTTCTGGTTAACTACCACACTTGCCTAGATACGAAATTACTACACTCAGCCACTTGAATTTCCACCTTATTTCACCAAAATATTTCAAATAATAACCCAGGATTAAGAGCATCATTAAAAATCAACTTCGACTTTATTATATAGATGCTTACGTGACGGGTTTATTCATTTACACCGCAAGCTTTTGTTAATTAGTACAGATTATTTTCTGTTTTTAACATATTTAATGCCATTATTATTACCATCAAAAGTGTTATTTATTAACATTACCATCCTGTTTCATACTTTGGAAAATTTCTTGTTTGTTTCACGAGTTCAAGTATTGTAAGGGTTTATCTGAAGTCAAAGGTTTGAGTGTTTCATTGTTGTGTATGGAGAATTGTTAACATGATAATCTTGAATATTCCCTAATTATCTCGTTTCGTCAATCACGAATTCTTCCCAAAGGTCAAATGAAAAAAAGTGTGTTATTTGACTATCAAACATGAATTGACGGATTTCGAATACGAAATTTTTACTGTCAGGCAAGAGGCATTGTTGCTAGCAATAAAAGAATGCAAACCTAAATTAACGACGCCACACTTTTGTCGTCATTTAAACAATGGCTTGTTTATGCCCATCTGCTGTGAATAATTCAACAGAATAGGCAGGAGGAAGGTTAGTAAAATCACTAAGACTCTTGTGAAGATAAGTGAAGGAGAACTAAATTTTCCAGTTTCCTCAACATTACCTACTGTTTTAAGGGTCAAACCGCTGCTTTATGACACTATCTTCTCTATGCCACAATTAGCTTAATACCGTAATATTAAACACCCTATTTGTCTACTTTGGTTTTATTATAGATCCAACCATAACAGCTGAGCAGTTATCCAAGTGAACATCTATTTTAACCCCGAGGGAATCGCTTAATGCATAAATACCGGTATACTTTAGGCCTTTGCCTATATCATTTTCGAAGTAGACTTCCGAAATGTGTTAAAAACTATATTTGACAACGTATATTCGTAACAGTGGTGCCTAATTACCCTCTCCTTGACCACATAACCTAACCACAATGTTATAGTATACTTAAGGATATGTTCAGCAAATCGAAGTTGAACCGAAAAACATTATTTATTGAAATGCCAAAAGACAAACTAAGTACATTTTTGCCAAGTTTTACAAAACGGATTTTTAATCTTATTATGCTCTTGATAAAAACCATACTTGAGTCCTTCGCCCTAAGTTCAAAGCAGTAAAAAATTAGACCAAAATTTATTTCAGTTATCTATGTTTCTTCTTGTTTTTGCATTTTTTAGAAAAGACAGAGTAATAAAGTGGTCCTTTTCTTGATGGGCGAAAACGAGGGAGGCTCAAGATCAAGCACCATCTCTCCCCTCGCTTGCGCTGCTTCAGATCCAGTCAGACAGTCTTGTCAACCCAAACGCCTTCGTCCAATAAAACCACGTATCAGACAGGCTCAGACATTCCCTGTTTTAGCAGGAGTACCATCAAACTTCCCATCAGTTAAAGCATTGCCTTTGACTGCCGTCCAACACCATCAGCTGAATGCATCAAAACAGCCCAGTGGGAGATCTGAAACGCTGCGCCTTGTGGCCGACCCTCAGGCCGTCATACTCCTCGCGTCTAATAATAACACACTGCATTCTACTGCTCGTTTATGCTCCAAAATAAGCAGAAGGCTTATCAGAGTAAGTTTGTACACAGCCTCTATTTTGTTGCATGGGCATATAATACATGGCATTCTGGTAACCCCCATTAGCTGGTAGAGTCGAAAGTAAAAATAAAATCCTTTACTTTGATTTAGCTCGATCAGAGGGATTCTATCCTTTCAGCTTTATTGTCAGATATAAATAATTGTCGTCTGAGCTGACGCATTTCTAAATGTGAATTTTGGACCTTTTAGTGAATCGTACAGTCTCATTGGAGAACTGTACTTGCGACTATAATAAAAAAATTAGGTACAAAAATTGAGGGAGGCAAGGTCGTTTACTTCTAAATATTCACATACTTCCCTTTGAGTAGCGAAGACTTTAGGCAACTGAAAAATTGACTGAATAAATGTATCATATTCGCTGTTCAATATTAGTGCTTTGGAAGAGCGGTGTGAACTAATTTGGCTGGTCCATCTATTATGAGAGAATTTCGGGGTATTATTAGACAAAAGGCAAATACTTTGCCAAAAATTAACTAGACCAAGTGTTCACTTTAATAAAATCTCCAAAATTACAAAGAGAGCGGAAAGACGACTTACTGCAAAGTGTAAGCGTTAAAAGGGAAGTAATATGAGGCTGTTGGTTTTAAGTTTGTTGTATTGTGTTTTAAGCAAAAGTCAGTATCATTAATCAGAGTGTAAGCTTAAGATGTCTGAAAGTTTGGGCAACCCAACGATGAACAGAAATAAATTTAGTAATTTATTTATGTAGCGTATTTGATGAAAAAGCATGCAGTAAATCAAGTGAATATGTACGTACAAGTGGATTTTGAGCTTGGATTACGCTTACACTCAGTGCCTCAGTGACCATTCTGGTCTCAGCTCACTTTTCAAATTAGTTCATTTTAAAACTAAAATCGGCTTCTAAATCTCTTGCATTGTCCACCAATGCGTTGTGGACAAAAAACCACTTATTCATTTATATTATGAGTTTAATAAGGATTAATATACTTTAAATATAGTTTTCAAAACCCGCAAATGATTTATTAAAATTGCCCAACATATAACTTAAAACAGAAAACCTGAATTTGAAAAAGTAATCACCTGTTTTTTCAGTAAGTAATAAAGAATGTCATAGCGAGATGTCACATACGGTGGATCAGCCAACTTAGCGGTAATTAAGGAAATCGAGCGGTGATATGTTATCTGCGCGAATATCGTAGAATCTTGTTCATAGTAGAAATCTAGAATAAAAAATCTTAGGCAAACTCTTACCTTAAATTTATAAAACATATTCTTCAGATTCTAGAGATACGCAAATGACTGACAGTTTTTGCTTCGTCTAATTTCACTAAGGTTGGATGAGTAAAACATTCTGTAGCGTCCCGGGACTCCCTAAGGACGAAAGAAGACAAAGTACTCGGGCAGTATATAT